ATGAGCTTGGAGGACTGCATCCATACATCTCTGACATGACTCACATCACTGATTAATAAAGTCATCTGGAATGAAGAAGAAAGCTTCAGCAGGATCCCAGAGTTCATCAAGAGTCTTTGTGTTCATCTTCAACACCTCCTCCTTCATCAGCTCAATAATGTTGATTTCTGGTGACTGGGCTGGCCAATCCTGGAGCAGCTTGACCTTCAGGATCTTTGATGTGGAGGCTGAGGTATGAGCAGGAGCGCTATCCTGCTGGAGAATTGTCCCTCTCCTGTGGTGTGTAATGTAATGGGCAGCACAGATGTCTTGATCCCTCAGGCTGTTGATCTCTCGCACGCCCCCATACTGAATGAACCCAAACCATGATGTCTCCTTCACCAAACTTGACTGATCATCAAGCCTGTCGAGGAGGATAACATAATCAACAACACGAACAGAGAAGCGATATATCCATAAACAAGAGACGGGTCAACTGTCCGTGTGTGTGTGTGTGTATGTGTGTGTGTGTGTGTGTGTGTGTGTGCTGTTGATCAGGTGAATGCAGCAGAAGAGTTCTGTCCTGTAAACACATATACACTACACCACTGCTGATGTGCACATTTCCATTCGTCTTGATTATGAAGCATGTCATTGGGCTGATTGGTAAAAGTCAGTCCAGTTTTCATTGAACGGAACCGTGATCTGCTCTCAGCTCTGCAACAGCGCTCATTACCCTCCCCTGATTCAGGAGAAACTCTCTTCACTCTGACTCTGAAATACACTAGAGTGTGTGCTGATCTAGAACAGGCGCGCTGATTGAAGAGTTTACAGAGATTTTAGACAAGAAACGAGACAAAAACCTCACACACACACACGCGCGCGCGCACGCTCAGGGAAGGGGGTGTGTTCCTCCATGCGCCGGTGTGTCTTTGTGTGTGTGTGTGTGTGTGACTCTGAGCTGCATTAGTTGAGTCTGCTCCAGTTTAGTTCTGCTCAGCTCAGAGTTCGGCGGTAAATGCTCTGCAGCAAAACCTCGTGAGTTCAACATCTTCATTCTCCAAGGTGTGTGTGTGTGTGTGTGTTTTCATACAATCTTGCAGCTCCTCAGAGACCATCATGAAGACTTCACAACATGCACACGCGTTTTCTCTGTGTGTGTGTGTCTTTGTGAGTCGAGGATTCAGCTCGACCTCAGTCTTGAGTTCTGCTGGTGTTTTGTTGTTTGTTGTGTGTGAAGGGGAAACTTGTGTTTGTGAAGTGTGTGTGTGTGTGTTGTGTTTGATATTCACTCGACAGGGCTCTTGAGTTGTGTTTGAGTGTTTGTGTCTGAGAAGCAGTGTGCTGTAGTGTGTAGTTGTCGTTTGTTTGTGTCTCAGAAACTGTGGTGTGTTATTGTGTGTAGTTTGTCTCAGAGAAGTTGTGTATTGTGGTGTTAATGTGTGTAGTGTGTTTGTTGCGTGTTGTTTATGTTTGCTGTGATAGTGTATTGTAGTGTGTGACTGTGTGTAGTTTGTTTATTTGTGTTTGAGAAGTGTACTGTAGTGTGTAGTTTGTCGTTGTTGTGTGTAGTTTGTTTGTCGCTTATTGTTTATGTTCGTTTGTGTATTGTAGTGTGTGATTGTGTGTAGTTTGTTTGTTTGTGTTTGGAAAGTGTACTGCAGTGTTTTGTTTTGTTTGTAGTTTGTGTTTGTCTCAGATTCCGTCTACAATAGTGTGTTATAGTGTGTAGTTTGTTTGTGTTTGTCTGATCGTCAGTGTACTGTAGTGTGTGATTGTGTGTGCGTGTTTTCGTGTTGTTTGTCTCAGACGCTGTGTGCTTTTGTAATGTTTGTTGTGTATTGTTTGTGTCTGAGACGCAGTGTGTAGTATATTGTGTGTGTGTGTGTGGCGCGGATTGTACCACGTGCTCGGTTCTTTGACTCATTGAGCGCCACTTTTTAAACGAGTCTTTGATGTCGCCGCGTCGGCGTGTCTGATGATGTCTTTGATGTTCCCGCGGTTTGTTTATCGCGTGTCTTTTATTCTGTCTGTCTGTCGCTGCTGTGTTCCCGCAGGTCCGGTGGGCTCTGTTCGTGTCGTGATGGGGTCTTCATCATCATCATCAGTGGTCCTCCTCCTGCTGTCCTCTCTCTCCATCGCTCTGGCCTGTAATAAAGCTCTGTGCGCCAGTGACGTCAGCAAGTGTCTCATTCAGGTCAGAGGCCAGTGTTTACTATTAAGATTATATATATATATATAAGACAGATCCAGAGGGTCTGCTGTGTGTGTTTTGATTGAATGCTGGTTCTTGAGTTTGTCTTCTGCAGCTGGATGAAGCTGGTGTGTGTGTGTGTGTGTGTGTGTGTGTGTGTGTGTGTTAGGAGCTGTGTTGAGTTGTGTCTGCTTTGTTTATCAGTATTTGTGTTAATTTTTTTGTATCATTAATTATTAGTGTATGCGTATTAATGTGTATGTGTGTGTGTGTGTATCAGGAGCTGTGTCAGTGTCGTCCAGCTGATGGGAACTGCTCGTGCTGTAAGGAGTGTATGTTGTGTCTGGGCTCTCTGTGGGAGGAGTGCTGCGACTGTGTGGGTAAGAGACTCTCCACCGTCCTCTAGTGTGTGTGTGTGTGTGTGATGTTGTGTGTGTGTGTTGATGGTGTTGTTGTTGTGTCTCCTCTGTTGTGTGTGTGTGTTGATAGTGTGTGTCTGTTGGTTGACTGTGTGTGTTGTTGTGTTCTCTCCCGGGTCAGGTGTGTGTGTGTGTGTGTGTTAATGGTTGTGTTGTGTGTGTTGTCAGGCATGTGTAACCCGCGCAGCATGAGTGAGTCTCCAGCGACGGGCAGGAGTACGGTGGAGGATCTGTTCCAGCCCATCCCGTCTCTGTTCCGCGCGCTGACGGAGGGCGACGCTCCCACACACACACTGGTGCTGACGCTGCCGCTAGCAGAGGAGCTGCAGTACCAACACAACCTGCACAACTACCTGGAGACGCTACACAACACACAACACAACAACACAACCTCTGTGCCCGAGAACAGCATCCACAGCA